CTCAATCACACAGCAGCAGTAGATACAGTGCAACAACAGTTCAATCAAAGCTGCATCCTATAGCAGCTCCAGCTTCAGCTTCAGAGTTCAATAAAGCCTGCAGTTATTAATTTGTTAGAACTATAGTTAGTTTATTGTAAGCTTGGTTAGGTTAGGCAGTTAAGATTAGGTAGTTAGATTAGTGATCTTCTGTATATCTTATGTCTATATAAGGCATAAAGATCTTATGTATAATTCATTGAATGAAATAAATCTGAAATTTTTTACCACCAAATTTTATATTAAAAATAAAATAAAATTATAATCTACGCAATCTTACAGCCTCAATAATGTCATTGCAATATTTTCTATCATCAAGAATTACCTAAAGAAACACTCATCGAAGCTTCTATACTTTTTTTTTCCCCCAAAAGAAACACTTACTAAAAGCTTCTATACTCAATTTTTATTTTAAAGTCAAAGGAATTGACAACAACATAGGCGAAATGGCAAACAACGTGGTGGGAGAATTTTTGACTTCAAGATGCCATCCAAGACAAGAAGCACACGTCAACAAGTTATAAATCAAAACCTAAATTACATTTTGCACCTTTGTAGTTTATATTTATCTCATTTTTTTTTTTTTGATCTTTTAATTATTTTAATCAACCTCAAAACTTTGAGTGAAGTAACAATTTGGACTATTTGCATAATGTCATTTTAAAAACTAACATAACGAGTTACATTTGGCTTCTCAATTTCAATTGGTGTATTTTTTGAAAAAAATGTTGGCAAGGAATGAAAATTTAAATCAAGTTTGTAAATTTGATGGGAAGAAAGGAAATTTTACGCGAACTATATAAACCATATATCATAACAGTAAATCTTTAGTCCCAAACCTTCACTCTCCCACCTAGGCTCACTGCTGGCCAGCTGCTGCCAATGGCCATGGCTGGTCGGCTAGCCGTTCTCTCTGTGTGATGTGTGTCATGTTACCCTTCAATAGGCTTTTACCTCCAGTTTTCTCACCCGTTTTCTTTTTTCGATTTTAATTTTTTTTTATGTGTTGTTTTTTTTTTTTTTTTCTTATAATTAAAAAAATTCGTGAGGCCCGAGGGGTTAGTTCTGTAGATTTGAGCAACAATCGTAGGTAGTTTCTACTTTCCAAATCTCTCTCAATGCATTTCATTTCCTATACCTTTAATTTCATGTTTTTAATGAAATTTTAACTTTGCTAATAAATAAAAAAAGATGAAAAATTTTATAGGTTTGAGGTTGTAGGGGTATTGTTGGACTTTGATTATGATATTTGTGTTATATTTGTATTTGGATTAATAATTGTAATCCTCTGGATGAGTATGCATTTTTATTTGGAATAATATTTTGTGGATGCATTTGTCAACTTCCTCAATTACATCCAAATTTACCCTCTATTTAACTCTTTAGAATCTTATCCTCATGAGCAATAGCTAAACAAAACCCCCCAGAACTCCCTATAAAACAATGCTCGCACGTCTTATTGAATGAAGGTTTAACAACTCCAAGAATGTGTGATGTATACTTGGGAATAAATTTGGATCACACATTTTTTTTTTCTTCATATTTTTTTCCGTCTGAATTCTTGATTCATGCCATTACTGTAACTCCTATATTTTTTTTTTGAACGGCAAAGCAAGAGACTTCATTGATGAAAATGTAGTACAAGGTACAAACAAATTACACCAATAAAGAGAAAAGAGGAGCCCAAAGTTGGTGAGGAACCAACGTAGGGGACGGGCCAAACCAGCAAAACAGATCACCAGCTATCAGAACAAAGGGACATATCACCAGCAGCAGATCTCTAGCAGCAGCAGATCACCCTTGGACTGAACACCAGCAGCTTGCAGATCAGAACATATCACAAGCAGAATCAACAGGTTAGATCACCAGAACAGATCAAATACAGAACAAAGTTGGATAACAGAAACACAGAACAGCCGGTGGGAATTGAGCAGCAGCAGCGTACATATTCAGATCAGAACGGAGCCAGATAAAGTCACCCTTTTGTGGATTAGCCTCTGTGATCCTTAGTAACGCTAGTTTGCAAATGTGACTCAGCAACATACCATCAAGTTGAAACAGATCAGCACCCTTTCTTACCCTTAATTGATACAGTGCCTAACAGCTGAGATGTTGTACAGAAAATCATTGATCAAAAAGTGGAGCTTCGTAGACGTAGCTTTCAACCAAATGGCAATCCTGGTAACAATGAGCTCTTGAAGCTCCTGCAGATTTGGCGAAGATACTTGGAAAAGACATTCATTCCTGTGTTTCCAGATGGACCATAGAGTTACTAGAGGAATAGCATTCCATATTCGACGTTCAGATTTTCTGCAATCATATCCTGACCACCATAGCAGCAAGTTTGGGACAAAATTTGGGACAACCCAAGTAGTCCCCCACCACTTTAACAGCCCAATCCAAACTTTCCACACCTGAGGACAAGAGATTAGAAAATGTTCTGCTGTTTCCTGCTGTGCTTGACAAAATATGCATAGGGTAGAGGCAGACCCATCTAAGATACCAATGCGTTGAAGGAAGACAGAGGTTTTTAGCTTGTATTTCCATGTGAGCCAACTGAAAAATTGCACTTTGGGCGGGAGTTGCTTGTTCCACACCAGACGAATAGGATGATTACATGCTCCATGGGCAAGGCTGGTATGATTGTAAAAGACCGAGACAAGAGACTGCCCTGCAATAGCTTCTGACCATACTGCACTGTCTTGGGCTTCCAAATTAAGTATGGGAGTTGGATATAGGGTGGTAGTGAGTCTAAGTAGTTCACTTTTCTCCCAGTCAAAGAGGGGCCTCCTAAATGTGAAAACCCAATGCTTAGTAGGGCCAGAGACATCCACAAAGTCCTTGAGTGACCCATCCTTGTTGAGTGACAGCCTGTAGATCTAAGGAAACTCATCTTTTAGACAAATATTTCCACACCAATTATCATTCCAAAACCTGATTGTACAACCATTACCCACCTTTAATTTTAGGTTATTGGTATAGTATTGAAAGAGGGACTCGTTCAGCTCCACTGCTGATACAATACCATTCCAGATGTTTGATAACTTGATACTTGGCCTGAGGTTTGGGAACCATCTCCCACCAAGGAATTTGTATTTGCTACAGATGATTTTTTTTCATAATGAGTCATTTTCAGATGCAAACCTCCACCACCACTTCAGGAGTAAGCACACATTTGCATCCTTAACTCTTCTAATGCCCAACCCACCCTGCTTTATACTCTTGGTAACCTCTGACCATTTCACTAAGTGGATTTTTTGCCTTGAATCTGAGCCTCCCCATAAGAATGAGGCTTGAATTTTGTCTAGCTCCTTAGCAACTCCTTCAGGCAATCTATAAAGAGACAAGAAGTATATAGGTAAGCTTGATAGTACTGCTTTCACCAATATTAATCAGCCTGCGAAAGAGAGGAGTCTCCTTTTCCAACCAGCAAGTCTCAACTTAAACTTATCAATAACAGGTTGCCATGTTTTCTTTCTCCTTGGGTTCGCTCCCAAAGGCAATCCTAAATACTTGAGTCGAAGGGTTTGGGTCTTACAATTCAATAGGGATGCAAAAATAGCAAGTTCAGAGATTGAAATACCAACACCACAAACCACACTTTTGTGGTTATTGATTTTGAGACCTGAAGCCACTTCAAAGCATCTGAGTATTCTTTTCAAAGCAAGGACTTCTGACAGCTCAGCTTCGTAAAATAGTAGTGAATCATCTGCGAATTGTAGGTGAGAGAGTCGCACTTGGTTGAAACCAATAGCAAATTCAACTCCATAGCTCTCTGAAATAGTATGTTTAGTGCCTCAACAACCAAGTTGAATAGGAGTGGTGATAAGGGATCGCCTTGCCGAAGACCTTTTTGGGGGCTGAACTCCTTAGTTGGAGAGCCATTGATAAGAACTGAAATTCTCGCAGTGGAGACACATTCCCGCATCCATGAGATCCATTTTTGTCCAAACCCAAAATTTGTAAGCATTGAGAATAGAAAATTCCAATTGATGGAATCAAACGCCTTTTCAAAGTCTAATTTAAAGAGCAACCCTGCTTTCTTGTATTTATTCCAGCCATCTACAACTTCATTTGCGATCAAGACTCCATCAAGAATGCTTCTACCCTCCAGAAAAGCTGATTGTGAGTCCCCGATTACCGTAGGCATGACTTGTTGAAGCCTAGCTGTGAGAACTTTTGAGAGAATTTTGTAAACAGAGCCAATCAAACAGATGGGTCTGTATTCATTTAATGACACAGCTTTCTCCTTTTTTTGGGATGAGAGTAATAAAAGAACTGCTTAAACCTGGAGCCAGTTTGCCATTAGCATAGAAGTCTTTCATAAAGTTAAGAATATCATCTTTGAGTAGCTTCCAAAATTTCTGAAAGAACAACAAGTTGAAACCATCTAGACCTGGGGCTTTGTTCCCATTGCAGTGTTTGATTGCTGCCCAAATTTCTTCTTCAGAAAATTCAGCTTCTAGCAAGTGAAAAGAAGTACTGGATCTAACACTCTTGAAATCCCCAGTTAAGACAGGTCTGATCTTCCAATCATCTGTGAATAGATTTGAGAAATGATTCCATACCTCATGCTTGACAATATTTGGCTCCTCAAAAGACACATCCCCTACTGTAATGGAATGGATGGTGTTTCTAGCTTGCCTGCTACTTGCCATTGCATGGAAAAATTTAGTATTCCTGTCGCCTTTTAGTGTCCAGTCCATCCTCGACTTTTGGAGCCACTCCCATTCTAGCTTCCTACTTAGTGACCACTTTTCATTTCTTCTTTCTCTTAGTATTTTCAACTCTGCCTCTACCAAGGGTCTTGTTTCGGCTATTAGATCAAGTTCATGAAGGACAGATTCTGTATCTTTTAGCTTGTTCGCAACATTGCCATAATCTTCTTTACTCCACTTTTTTAATGCCATTTTCAGAGCCTGCAGTTTCTTTTTCAGGAGGAGTCTATCAGACCCCTGCAACTATGTTTCCTTCCATGTGGTCTCCACTATAGAAGCTAGGTTTGGGTGTAAGAGCCAAGCATTCAGAAACTTGTATGGTTTAGGCCTCCAATCCCTTTCATCCTCCATAAGTACAAATGGGCAGTGGTCAGAGACAGTTCTGGGAAGGCCCAAGAGTTTGAGCTTGAACCTCATCAACCATTCAGGGCTAATGAGAAACCTGTCAATTCTACTCCATTTATTCCCATCCAGTGCATTACACCAAGTGAATTTTCTACCTATCATTGGTACATCCACCACCTCACAATTATCTATGAATTGATTGAATTCCCTCATGCCCCTGTCCCTGTATGAGACCCCTATCCTTTCCCCTACTGTTCTGATCTCATTAAAGTCCCCCCCAAGGCACCATGGTTTTGAGAAAAAATGCTTTAGGTTTTGTAGGGTCACCCATAATTCCTTCCTCCTTACTACATCATTTGAAGCATGGGTGTTGATAATTACACAATCAAGAGAGTTTTGAATTTTACCTGACAGAAGGATGAAGTTTCTATTGCAACAATAGTCTGAAAGGTTGAAAATATCCGGGTCCCAGATGCAAATCAAACCACCTGCTAGGCCTTCAGCATCCACAGCCATAAATTCAAACTTGTCTCTAGGCCAAATACTCTTCACCCATAGAATATTAGTGCTTGATTGTTTTGTTTCTTGAATTAAGGCCATATCTATTGCTTTATCAAGAAGAAGCTTCCTTATTTTCCTTCTCTTTGTAGGCTTCCCAATTCCTCTGATATTCCAGCTCAGCAACTTCATTGGAAACAATTTAACTCTCAGATTCCTCCAGTAGGTGTTAGCTATTCCACCATGCCAGTCCCTCTACCTACTCTTTCTTTATCCTGCTCCTCCATATGTGTGAGTTTCTGTATGACCTCAGCTTCTTGACCCTTAAAATCAAAGCCTAAACTTTCCCCTACTTGTAGTGTTGCATGTGCTTCTTGGAGGATATCCCTTGCAGAGACTGAGTTGGAGGAAATTGGTTCAGCTGAAGATCTTGGTTTAGCTCCTTTGATGATGCCTTTACTAGTGCTTGCACCTTTATGCCCCATTCTCCTAGTAAACCCAGAGAATCTGCCTGTAAGTAATTGATGTTTAATCTTATCGCATCTGCTGCCTTTTCTTTTCCATTTCTTTGGTCGGTTTCTGATGGGGCCTGGGAGGGATGGGTTGGTTGTGGTATTGGTCTTTGACTGGGGTGCCTCCTCTGCTGTTGGTGAGCTATAACTTAATGGCCCCATGGGCTGAAGATTCACTTGGGCTAACTTAGTGGGCTGCAAGCCACTGTTGCCGTTGCCCAAGTTTACCTCGAGGCATATACCAGGTTTTTCCTTAGATGGGTCACTGAGGCTTTTTATAAAACCTGGGGAAAGCAATGGCCTATCTACGGCTGGGTTAAGAAGTTGCCCATCAATGGTAGGGGCTAAATAGGCTATAGGGGTTCCTTTTAGAGGAGTAGGATTACACTCTACACTCTATTGTAGAGTACCTATAGCTGTATCTAGCTGATTTCCATCACCCTTTTGAGCACTCTGATTGCACCGTTGCTGTAGGCATACTGCTTGTAATGATGATTCTGCGGCACATGTACCCACTTCATTTGAATTTCCCACACAAAAGATGGTCTCTGCTACTGCTGAGGTGTTGCTCCAGCTGCCCTCTGTAACCAGCTCACCCTTGCCCTTCAACCGAGATGTCACTACTCCATTTGTTAAATCAGGCTCTCCTGCCACATCACCTGCCACTTCGGCAGCCTTGTCATCATCTTCTCCTTCTGTGGGGTTATGCTGGATGTTGTGCAGTGCACCATTAACTTTGGATCCTACGGCTTCAAGTGGATCCTTGGAAGCTGTTTCTTTGGAGCTTGAGCTAGTATCCTCAGAGGACTGCTCTTCAAAGACTCTAATGGGGTAAATTCTCCCGTTGCATTCTAGGTTAATGCTTGTGGTGATCGGATCCATAACATTTGTAATGATGCTAAATCTGCCACCGCGAAAAGACTTGGGTATGCCTGTATGGCCATCAAAGAAGACCAACTCCCCCCATAATCGTGCTATTTCTTTGAAAGTATTGGAGCTCCAAAGACTAGGAGGGATCCCGTAGCAGTTGATCCAGACGTGTCTCTCTTGCTGAAGATGCATACCCGATCTCCATTCAGTGATGTATTCAGACCATTCTCGAAACCAGTCTAGAAACAGAGGTTTTTTATTCTGCAGTTCATCCTTGTTGGGGAATGATAGCAACACATCCCGCCCTCCTCCTTCCCTGACCATCACACTTTGTTCACCTCTTTTAGTGAGTTCGTTTTTCATCTGTAGAATAGAATGACCCATTTTGAGTCACATAATTAGGCTCTCGTGCAGCCAACCATTACCAGTCTCTGTTACTTTGATGGTTATTCTTGATGTAGGTCTGGGTTGGTCCCCTTTGATGACTTCCGTGAAAGACCTGCCATCAGTGCCGTGGGTCCTTGTGTTTAAGTTCAAGCGAGTTGTTTCTCTTTTTAATACTGGATTAGTGAGAATATTTTTAATTGTTATTAACGAACGAAAATATTGCTTTTGAAGAACTTTCTTGCAATATACTATAGCCCGTACCTTTCCATCAATGCCATTCACACTATAATTCATCACATTAGCCAATTCTTAACAATACAATGAAAACATTACCTAATTCTTAACAATACAATGAAATCATGATGAGTGTGACACTAGCATAGTCCAAATGAGCTATTATTAGTTTTCAATTTATAATATTTTTATTTTTGTAAAATATCGCATGCTTTGTTCAAATACCTGTTATATTCCAAATTTCAATTTTTTCGCTTCTCTACTTATAGAAAACATTTTTTTTTTGATCAGTAAAGAAAAATTTCATTAACAGCATGAAATTAAAAGTACAGGAAGATGACATGCATCGAGAGAGATTCGGAAAGTACAAATTACCCCTACTACTGCTACTCGTATCCATACAACCAACCCCTTGGCCTCAGGATTTTTTTTTTTTTTTTAAACAAGAGTTAAAAAGGACTTAATTAAAAAAATAAAATACATGAATCCCCGCAAAATTAACCCACACAACCCAAAACCAAAGCCCAACACCAAGTCAACAAACCACACACTACTATTAAATATTTTATACACCGCTGCTGCTGTACTCCCAAATGTAGCCATCACCTATGCTCCATAGCCATCACCTATACTACCCAAAAAATCGAGTCCAGATCCCCTCCTTGAGCCCCCTCCTTCATTCCCTCCTTGTAGGGGCCTTCAGGTCCACTTTGAGGCCCAATTTTGATAATCCAAACCGTTCATATTTTTAGATTTATTGAGTATATTATACTTGTAAAAAATCAAGTTGATCGGATATCAGAAAGTATGCGTTCAGAAAATTGGGACTACAAACTATTTTTTAATAAACAGTTTTCCGAACACATACTTTATGATATTCGATCAACTTGATTTTTTACAGGTATAATAATCTAAAAATATGAACGGTTCGGATTATCAAAATTGGGCCTCAAAGTGGGCCCGAAGGCCCTGCAAGGAGGGAATGAAGGACCGAAATGAAGGGGAGGATCCCAATTCCAAAAAATCACCCCTGCTGCTATACTCCCCACAACAAACCACACACTGCTCCATAGCCATCACCTATGCTGCCCAAAAAATCACCCCTGCTGCTATACTCCCTACAACAAACCACACACTGCTCCAAACCACACACTCGCATCCATATTTTATACACAGCTATACTCCATAGCCATCACCTCTGCCACGTTAGTAGCATGCTCAACCACACCCTCGTTACAATTTCCCATACCTGCCACATCTCACAGCTACGGTCTACCTTGCTTCTCCCCCACACTCTCCATGCTCCATGGCAAGAAATCTATACAACCTCTGTGCAGGCCGGTCCAACACCAACCTACTGGTAGTTGTGCCTGAACGCATCCATATTTTTTAAACAACCATGGCGGAAGCTACCTTGGCCAAAACCAGACACACCGATGGAAGCAAGACCCACTACCACAGTTGAACAAAACCAACTGACACCTCCACTCCTATGGTTGGAACAACCCAACGCCGACCTCCTGCTGATCCTACTCCACCGCAGAAACACACCCCCTGCTGATACTACTCCACTGCTGATTCTACTTCGAAGCCAGACACACCCACTGTTTAAACTACTCCCACCGTTGATACTTCTCCACTACTGATACAGCTCTAACAACCCAAATCTAGACACACCAACTACGCCGACCTCCTCTTAATCAACACAACCGCTGAGACACAACCACACATCTGGACGCCGTTCACCCCTCAAACTCCCATACTCACAGTAGCGCTCAAATGAAATCCTACACAGATCTGGATCATCTTCAACACTAGTGCTTCCCCCCGAAACACACCGAAACACCTCCAGAGATCTGAACGGAGAACACCCCTCAAACTTCCACTCGCAAAGAAGCGCCCGAATGAACATCCTAACCAGATCTGGTTCGTCCTCTTTGCCAACCCAGTGAACATCCATAACGTTCACCAAAACATCCTAACAAACCAAGCAAAATCTACAGCAGCCCGGTGGGAAAATAATGGGGAATCAAGTTTATTAAAAGGAAGACTAACAAACAAACACAAAAACAGAACTAGGCGAGCCGACCTCCATAGCCGAAGGCGGCGGCCGACCGGCCCAAATCGATTTATTTATTTCTCCTATGAAATGAATAAGTTCACGATAACTACTCGAACAACTTTGCCTTAAACACATGCTTATTTATAGTAGAGGAAAATGATTTTCATTGTTGATTTTCCTTAATTTATAATCATGTTTTCACCTATATATGATTCAATTACTTCATTTTGTTGACCTTTCATCCAGTAAAAGAGATAAAATTATCCTAATAGAATTCTTGATTTCCTTATTAATGTTTTTTTTTTCCCTTTCAAATTTGCCTGTATCTATTATCCATTTTTATTGATGTTCAAATTTTTTTCAACATTTTCACTTTTTCCTATACTCAAAGCAATTGAATTTTATAATTTTTCTTTTGTGTTTGTTAGTGTGTTTAAAATTGAAGTTGGAGAGATGAACCTAGAAGTTTTACAACCTAGATTTGTTAAGGTAATAATGGATATCCTTCGTATATCATTCTTTCAAACTCCATTTGTTTGATCATCATATAATTTAGATAAAAATATTTTTTCATTTTGCAATGTTTGGTTGCACGAGACATGGGTAAAAGATTTTTTCTCAACATAATTATTTGATGACCTTGTTGCGATGATTTGCTGTACAACAATATAACAATGTTTATGATTATGACATTGTTCTTTCATCCAACTAGTTGGCAATGCAAATGCAGATGCAGATGACAAGCAATCACAAATTCATACGGTAATTGAATTAATAAAATTATTTTTAAGGTAAACAGAGAAAAAAAAAAAAAAAAAAAAGTCCTTCAATTAAAATTATTCTCTTGGTTTTGGTGATGATTTGTTTATTTGCTTTGTGATTTATTGCTCATGTTAACTTTTTTTTTTACTTCTTTTATTTTGTTTGTGTTACAGGTGCGATGGTAGAGAAATGAATCTTTTCGTTCACTCATTATTGATGGTTACTCCTCAGGTCAATTCCTTCATATGCCCTCTTTTTCAGTTCATATTTTGCATTTTTTTTTGTATACAAATCTATGCTTTTGGCTCCAAAGTTGGGATTTAGAATTTATATAAAGTATTTATGAAATTTGGTCCTTTTAACAGATGGTTGATTTGTTAATATGTCAATAGGATACTTTATATGTGAAAATGCAACTACTTGGATGATTAGGTTGATATGATGAAACTTTTTTAGTTGGGGATTATTTGTTTTCTTTTCCATTTTTCTATAGTTGACTATATGCACTACTTGTTCGATGGATGTCTCAAACTAACTTGAAAACTAAAAAACGAAAGGCATTTGCTTATGATAATAGAAAACAGACTTGCTCATTGTTATTTATGTGAAGGTGAAAATATTTAAATTTTAAATCTATAATTGTTTGTTTTTGTTTAGTTAAATTTGAACAAATTAATTTTTTGCTTTAGTTACTTCGTGATTTCACCTTCTTTCCCTTCATGTTCTCTAATTAATTTGTTTTGAATAAAATGAAATAGCAGTCAAATATCTTAGTTCATTATCACCACACACACACATGAAAGAAAAACCTTACATCATTAATTGTGGGATCTATATTTAATTTTCACTCAAAAAAATAGTGTTAGTATAATTTTTTGTTGACTTTTGTTTCCTACTTCCTTCGTTTATTTATGTTTAGTTGAAATCACACTATTTTCCCCCATTTTTGGTGCAATTTTCTTTGTCCTTTACTATGTGATTTGTAAATTGTACTCCTTTGTGTTGGAGCAATTCCTTTAATCTCAATCTCTTTGTTGGATTGGGTATTGTACCTTCTCAATCTGAGTACTCTTGTGGAGGATGGTATTCAATTTCATAGCTATGTCATTCCTACAAATGCACTTAATAATTAAGAAGAGGCTTTCTTCTGCCTTAGAGATTTTTATTTTTATTTTATTTTTTTGGGTGGTGGCATCTTGCTATGTTTTGCTCATGCTATATTGGTTTTTGGTTGAGCAAAGGAATCACTCAACAAGCCTATGTTGTGTCCTCTACAGATGGAATTTAGGAACAACTATGAGGGAATGAAAGTTTTTGTCATATATATGTAAGGTGGGTGGATCCCAGTTCTGAGACAGAGAGGAAGGTCGAGGCACCATGGAGCAGGAAATAGGGGAAGTAGATCAGATCTATTTACCTTGTTTGTGGATAATATACCTGAGGTTATGAGCCCACGAGGTTTGCATGAGTTGTTTTCAAAGTTTGGGGTGGTTAGGGATGTATTCATTCCTCAGAAGAGGAGGAGAGTTTTAAATATAAGATTTGGTTTTGTGCGGTTTGACTGCCAGATTGCAGCCTCTATGGCTGCCCAGAAGGCAAATGGGCTTTGGATAGAAGACAGAAAATTGTCAGTAAAGAATGCAGATTATGGGAAGGAAAAGGGTGAAAGTAACTGGATGAAATCTCCGGTAAGGAAGAATTTTGAGGGGCAAGCTGTAGCAGATAATCACATCAAGCAAAGCTGGAATCAAGGAATCGACAATAGATCGTTTGCGGAGGCTGTAAAGGGTATTAACTCAGGTGGCAAACAAAACACTACTGTTAATGTAGAGGAGATAGAAAATGGATGGTTGTATGAAAGCCTGATATTAAGGCTCAAATCTAGGCACTCTGTTCTGGCCATTAAGGAAGCACTCCAACAAAAAGATATGTCGGGGGTGCTACTGCGAGAGGGTGGAGGTCGAGATGTTGTGATGACTTTCAAGTCAAAGGAGGATTTGAGGAACAACAGGACCAAGATTATTGCGTGGTTCCAAGATTGGTGTGTATTCATTAAGGAATGGTCACCAGATCTTCATGTAGAGCAAGAAAGGATTGTATGGCTGAACTGCTATGGAATCCCACTAAACCTCTGGAACTCAGGTACATTCAGAAAAATTGGAAGACTATGGGGGGAAGTGGTTTCTCTGGATGGAGACATTTGTGAACCAGCATCTTTTTGGTGCGGAAAGATTAAGGTTGCCACTAGTCTAATGGAGCTGATAAATTCAAATTTAACTCTGGAGTGCAACGGGAGAACATATCCTATAAGAGTGTGTGAGGAGCAGATTGTAAAGGAGGTTAGAGCCATCTGCAAATGTAACTCAGTCGGCGATGATGAGGAGTATGTCAGTTCCAACGTTAATGGTGAAGTGCATCCCATTGTTGAACCCAGAATAGAGGAAGATGAAGCTAAGCTGGCAGAGGTGGGGGCTGATGAGGTGGGCTTAACTAATGAGTTGGTTGAAGGAGTTTTGCCAACTAAGGGGAAGGAAGGAGATAAGATGGTTGCGGAACGTAGTGGGTTGGTAGCCTCAATAGTTGAAGAAACTACAGATTACATGGGGAAATCAAATGTAGTTGCCAAAAGTAGGTGTACAGCCGACATTGGGAAAGCAATTGAAAAGGGCGCACGGGAAGTAGAGTCAATGATGATAGGAAAAGAAGGTCTAAAGCTCGGGTGTAATGATGAGTCGCTAAATGTAGGCGGGCAGCCTCACACACCAGGTTCTGTGAGAAGTGTGAGTGAGGCTTTGAGGGACAGACCAGGTATTAACTTGGAGGTCCTCCTGGGCCAAGAACAGTGCATTAACAAGACTATTGGGCCAGGTGTTATTAATCAGTTAAATTATGGGTCTAGCCAGTCCAATGTATGGGCTGAGCATGGGCCTATTTGGATGGGTTCTAAGTCCAGTGAGTGTAATCCTGCTGGTGTATCCATATGTAAAATTGTGAATAACAAGATGAAGTCCACAAATAATAACGGGAAAAGAAAAGTGGGTGTGACAAACTCCATATCAATGGGTGGATTCTCTGGTTTTGCAAGAAGGCTAGGGCATGGAGGGGTTGGATCAAGTAAAGTTAGTCATAAAGGAGTGGTGGTTAGGGCAGCAGCTGCCGCCATGCTGAAGCATGCCCCAGATAAATCGCAACACAGTTGCTCTGGAGGAAAATTACATAAAGCTCGATTAACTCTTATTTTGGGTAAAAGGTTGGGGGTTGATTGTCTGGGCCAAGATGAAGCAGTGATTCAGAAACTTGTTCGGATGGAGGAGGTGGACAAAGAAAGGATTGGTGAAGAGGTTGAAGGGGCAAATTAATGAGATCCTATCAGGTGATATAAAAGAGTACAATATGCTGTTATGAAGTGGTTAAGCGGGAACATCAGGGGGATTGGTAGGCTTGAGAAGATGCGAAAGATTAGGAGGGTCTTGGTTGATAGGAAAATAGATTTGGCATTTTTTCAAGAAACAAAGAAGGCAAGTTCTTCATCAGTGGAAGTTAAAAGGGTGTGGCATAGAGATAAAATGGAGTTTATGGTTGTTGATGCGGAGGGCAGGGCTGGGGGGTTGTTATGCATATGGGATCCTGAGGTGTTTCATTTATCAGATTGCTGCAGCAATAGGCAGTTCATTTTGATTGCAGGTACAGTCCTTAATTCTTTTGATTGTGTCATGATTAATGTGTATGCTCCTAATGATCCTGTGCGGAGAAGTAAACTATGGGAGACTCTGGCAAGGTTGAAATTAAGTTTCACTAGACCTTGGTGCATAGGTGGAGACTTCAACGAAATCCGATCAGCGGATGAAAGAGTGGGTTGTTCAAGGAGGGAACGAGGTATGAAAGACTTCAACGATTTTATAGATAGGTGTGAGTTGACTGAGTTACAAATGCTGGGTAGGAAATATACCTGGTGTAATGCAACTGATGGTAATAAGTGGAGCAAAATTGATAAATTCCTACTGACTCCTGAGTGGATCGAAAGATTTAAGTTCAAACTGTGGGGCTTACCGAGGCACATTTCTGATCATTGTCCTCTACTCTTAATGGAGGATGAAAGGGATTGGGGGCCCAAACCCTTCAAGTTTTATAATGCTTGGTTACTACATCCCAGCTTTGCTTCATTCTTGGAGAATGTATGGTTAGAGTGCCAGATAGATGGAAGTGCAGGTGTAATATTGCAAAGGAAATTACAAACCTTGAAGCTAGCATTAAAGAAATGGAGTAAAGAAGTGTTTGGTAATGTCGCAGAGAAAATTAAAGAAGATGAAAGTCAGCTCCACTCTTTGGATTTGATGGCGGAAGTCAGACCTTTGATGGAAGTAGAGCTGAGGCTTAAAAGAGAATCTAGAAGTGACCTATGGAGACTCAGTAGGATGTTGGAATGGTCTTGGCTGTAAAAGTCAAGATTGGAATGGAACTTAAAAGGGGATAGAAATACTCGATTTTTTCACGTGATGGCTAGTAGTAGACAGAATAGGAATGCTCTTAATTCTATTCTGGTGGAGGGGGTGGTGGTTGAGGATCCACAGCAGGTAAAGGATGTGGTTTGGGCTCACTTTAACAAGCACTTTTCAGAAGCATGGAGGGTTAGACCTGGCTTGTCTGGCAATTTTAAGAACATAAGGGGTAGTGCTTGTTTTCAGCAGCTGGAAGCAGAGTTCTCGGAAGCTGAAATATGTGCTGCAGTCAAAGAGTGCAATGGGAATAAAGCACCAGGCCCCGATGGCTTCAATTTAATGTGTATACAAAAGAATTGGAAGGTGTTTAAAGCAGATGTCATGATGTTCATGAAAGAATTCCACAGCTTGGGTAAATTGGCTTTCGGTTTGAACAGTTCATTCATCACCCTAATTCCGAAAAAGGCCAAGGCAGTCAATCTTAAGGATTATAGACCGATAAGTTTGATTGGATCGATGTACAAGATTTTGTCTAAGGTTCTAACCAGTAGACTTAAGCTAGTTATGCCAGAGGTTATAGGTGAAACCCAATCAGCTTTTTTGAGTGGAAGGAATATCTTGGACGGGGTTTTGATCGCAAATGAAATTGTGGATGGGTGGAAGAAAGCTAAGAAGAAGGGGGTGTTGCTTAAACTTGATTTTGAAAAAGCGTATGACTCCATCAACTGGGGTTATTTGCTGTCCATGCTGTCAAATTTTGGCTTTGGCTCTAAATGGATATATTGGATGAAGGAGTGTATTGCAACTGCTAGAATTTCTGTCCTTGTGAATGGGTCACCAACCAAAGAGTTTAGCCCTCAAAAAGGACTAAGACAAGGTGATCCATTATCACCCTTTCTGTTTAATTTGGCTGTAGAAGGGCTTAGTGTTCTACTACTCAGAGCAAGGGAATTGGGCCTGATTAAAGGGGTGCAGATTGGAGTTAATGGGGTGGTTGTTTCACACCTTCAATTTGCTGATGACTCTTTACTTTTCTGTGAAGCAAATATGGAAGAGGTATTGACTCTTAAAAGAATTTTAAGGTGCTTTGAGATGATTTCAGGTCTTAAGATCAACTTTCACAAGAGTGTGGTTTGTGGGGTTGGAGCTACAGTCAATTCTCTTAAGGATTTCGCTTCTGTGCTCAACTGCAAACAGCAGAACCTGCCACTGAAATTTCTGGGTTTACCTCTGGGTTCTTCTCCAAGTAGGAAGAAATTTTGGCAACCTGTTTTAGATAAGATAAAATGCAGACTAGCGGGGTGGAAAAGGAGACTCTTATCATATGCTGGAAGGTTGACTCTCATTAAATCAGTTCTGTCCAGTTTGCCAGTGTATTACCTCTCCCTCTTCAGGTTGCCAGAAGGTGTGGCTAAGGAAATAGATAAAATTCAAGCAGCCTTCTTATGGGGAGGTACAGAATTGAAAAGAAAAATTCACCTAGTGAAGTGGAAGGAGGTGACCAAGAGCATTACCCAGGGTGGGTTGGGAATTAGGAGAATTAGAGAGGTAAGTTCTTGTTTATTATTGAAGTGGTGGTGGAGGTTTGCAAGTGAAGATCAAGCATTATGGAAAAAGGTGATTTGTCAGAAGTATAAAATTGAAGCTGGAGCTTGGTTCCCAAATCAAACTGGTGGTAGAAGATGGTCAAAGTTATGGGGTGATATTATAGCAGTGGCAGAACATAGTACCAATCTATTCCAATTTTTTGCCAACAACTTCCAAATTAAAGTGGGAGATGGGAATAGAGTGAGATTTTGGCTTGATGTGTGGCATCTTTGTTTAAGAAGGCCTTTGAGGCAGTGGGAGGTTGAGGAGGCATCCAGGCTCACTGATATATTAACAGCAGCTCCTAGGTTAAGTTTGGGGGTTAAAGATAATCCAAGGTGGCTGGATTATAAACCAGGTCAATCCCTTGTTGCTTCTCTTTACAGGAATTGTGATCTGGGCTCTGGTGTAGCTGCAAGTACTTCTAGACTGGTGTGGATTAATTATGTCCCACCCAAAGTTCAATTCTTTGGGTGGCTAGCTTGGAAACATAAGATCAAAACTTCTGCTTTTCTTCAAAGGGTTGGAGTGTTGGGTGAGGAAGCCTCAACTGAGTGTATTTTCTGCAAATCAGAGGTAGAATCTGCTTCACATGTCCTAATTTCTTGTCCTCTGATCTGGAAGGTCCGGTCTGGTTTAGTGAAGTGGTGGGGTTTGGTTTGGGTTGTACCTGGCTCTGTTGAAGGCTTGCTGCACTGGTGGGCTGGCACCTGCCTCATGAAAGCTGAAAGGAGAGTTTGGCTTGCTATCCTTCTGGTTGCAATGTGGTCTATTTGGAAACATCGGAACAATTGCTTGTTTAATTGTGTTCAACCAGATATGGAGGAGCTTAAGGAGTCCATTATTATCAGGCTAGCTATTTGGCTGAAGGCATCCTCTAAGGATTGGCCATTCTCCATCAATGATTTTCTTTTTAATATCACCCAGATTCGGGTTTGTTTAGGTGGTCGGGGTTGAGTGTTTTTGCAGCTGCAGCAGTGATTGGCCTATATTCTACCATCTTCTGGTGTGCAGTAGCAGCATATGTGGGTTGGGCACTAGAAGGTAGAGTTTTCAGTTCATGATGGTTGTAGAGGTTTGCTGCTTGGGTGTATATCTGGTGTGTGGAAGGTCTGAGTTGGTTTGGTTTTAGCCTGATATCTGCCTGGTTGTCTGCTGGTTATGGAGGGTTGGGTGGGGGGCTGCACTTAGTGAGTGTAGTTCTTAGATGTGTTGTCCTGCACACAGAGCTCCCCTGTTTTGTTGCTTTGATTAGAGGCCCAGGTGTAGTTATGCAGAGTTGTTGTCAAGCTGTCTTCAATAACTCAGAGGCTTCAAATTCAATTCTGCAGTGCAGTTTTGGTCTGGTGTAACCTGCACAGTAGTGCATTGTACTGCAGGTTCTGGTAGCTATGCTGCTTTGGTCTCTTGCTGCTTGGAGTGTAATCTATCTTAGCTCTATGCTGTCTTGGTCTCTCAGTGTTTTTCTTCTATGCTGTCTTGGTCTTAGCAGTGTCTTGGGCTCTTGCTGCCTGGAGTGTAATCTGTTTTGCTGAAGTTGTTGGGTGTGCTTTGTAGTGCAGTTGTACTGCCTTGGATCTGTTTCAACAGTGTGGTGTTTTTCTGTTTTCTTTTTTGTTGGTTTCTCACCAACTGGTGGTAGGAGCTTTGTCTAGCTCCTACCTCCTCTTTATTGATGCTTCTTCTGTACCCTATTTGTGCTTCATCAATAAAGCTTCTTTGCCGTTCAAAAAAAAAAAAAATAGACTACCGAAGCCCTAACTAAACAAAACAAGTTAGACTCTTGTAATAATTGGGGTAATATTTGTTTTAAATTGTGGAAGCCGTGTGCTTATCTGAAACATCCATCAAGGGCAGTGCATGCCTGTATGAAACAAAATGTGCAACCTTTTTTATTACATTAATTAATTTTCTTACAAGAAGTATATATTTTCTACGAGGGCATCTTTTCCAAAGCTAAGTACAATTTCATGAGCATAGTAAATACTACTTCTTCTTCACTAACATATACATATAACTTCAAGAGGCAAAACCTTCCATTACAAGTCCTTTTCACCTACATACACATAAGGGAATTGGGCGAGTTAAAACATAGTGAATAGTACTATAATAAAGTAGTAATATGAATGTTTATTGGTATGTTCTTGAATGGTTACATTTAAGCCTTCAAGTGTGATAACCACACCTTGCATATCATTTTGCATTAATTTAATTATAGAAAATTTTAATTTTTTTTGCATTGTATGTGGTGTGATTCGTATGTGATTTATTTGATAGGGGATTTTGATTTGAATCAGGAATTGATAACCCATATGACTTAGAAACCTTTGAGTGATAAGTTTAATTGATTCAGTTTAGTGTGAAGAACCTAATAGGAACTCAATCAAAAATTTAAGTGAGATTAGTATTAATTAAGAATGATTAAATTGTGATTAATAGGTTAATTAAGTTAATTGTTAATCATGATTAAGTAGTGATTAATTAAGCTAATACATGATTAGAGCCTTAAATTAATCCTAATCTAATTCTATTCAATATATAAGTTAAGATGTGAGAAGTTGAGTTCGTTATATGCATTTTGCCGGAGAAAACTTAAGAGAACACTACAAAAAATTAAGGTTTTAGATATCAAAATTTAGGGACAAAATTATTTTTTAGGGACTAAATATTGTTGTTGCGAAAAGTGTAGTTATTATATTTTTAGCAACAAAAATAAAATATTAGTGATGAACTATTATCCTTTTGGGACCAAATGTTTTATCTAAAGAAAAAAATCATTTTGAGACCAAATTATTTTGTCTCTGAAAGTCTATTTATTAGTGACATTTTTAAAATTTTGTCGCTAAAAGCCTTGTTTTCGACTTTTCGGGACAACCTTTGTGATAACCCTGTTCCGCATTATGCTAATTGATCTTTATTATAAATGTGATTATGTGTTTGATATGATTTTGAGTCTCATTTATATGAATATGTGTGACTTTGAATTTCTATCTATTCACTATAGAAAAATATGTTTGATTCCCTGCTCTAGAATTTAAATTGAAGGCCTTATCGGCCACAGAAGTCAAAATTGACTACGCCATTGTGATTAGCGTAATTTTTAGAGC